CAAAGGACTGATAAGAGGAGAAAGGCCAGCCAGAAAGTAAATTACAGCTTTGAATAGTTGCTGTTTAAAACTACTGAATAGTAATAATTCATAACAATTACCAAATATTTTCATCTGTGAGCCACAATTACTTGAGTAGAATAAATTAATGTAGCACAATTTATAGATTGTTTCTAAAACCAGACAAAGTTTTAGATCCTCATTACGACCTTCCTAGATAAAAGCAGAGTGAAATTAACCTGATTCTTGAATATTCACATGCTACACGTGGCTCTGTTCTTTGGCTCATGTACTAGTAGGACTGAAGATTGTTACTTCTGAAATACAGCTCTAAAGATCAAAAGTGAGTATATGAGTTCTGAACCGATTTCAGAACCATCTGATAGACCTACAATACTGAAAGAAAAAAGGGATTGGAAGAGTACAAAACAGATGGCATAATAATCTTGTACTCTCGCTTACACTGTATTTGCACGTGCATACAGCACTGTCCCCTGCCTCCCTCACGCCCCCCAAAAAGTCCTTTATCCCTGCTATATTGGCCAAACCACATAGGGTAAGTGTCTTGTTGAGTCCTGAAGGTGAAGGCCTTTTTTTTTTTATTCCATCACAGCATATACATCTGAGTTTGAGAGTGCACTGAAGCTTATTTCTTTCAGAACTTCAGTCAAATTTAAGGCATAAGATGAGCATTTGGACTAAGTAATACACAGTTCAAAAGTGCTATTTATTGGTTGAAATCCTTTCTTGAAAAATATCTGAGGCCTGGGTTCTTGACCCAAAGGCAAAATGAGATCTAATATACTTAGGCTGGAATTTAACCAGTCACAAATGTAAAACTGTCAAGTCAATTCTTAGCATGAATGCACTTTATTCTTGAGAACTGGCCTGGAAGAACATATTTTTTATGGTCACATTTTAATTCATTTCTCACTTACGAAAAACAAGTCATGATGTTCTTAAGGAAAACAAATTTGAGTTCACTTTCTTGAAAAGAAGGTTGTACAAAACAGGACTTTTCTCTTATTGTCCTTCGCTCCAAGAAACACCTGCTCAGACTTAGAAGAAAGAAAATACATTTTGAGCTTGGATGCCTGTTTTGTGGTGTAGGTCAGTTAGCATACAGGAAGTATCATGTCTTTTAAGTACTGGGAAGATTTACAAATGCTATTTCCTTTGAGCTACTGAAATGCATGTTTTATATTTCAGGTGACTAAGAAAAATCTTCTTGTTGGCAGACTCTAAAGAAATACTTAATGCAACTGTGCTCCTAAGAAATATATAAAGGAAATCTGAAGCATGTCATTTTTAACACAGCCTGTGTTCTAGACCTAAAAAATAATTCAGGAAGAAGTGTGTTCTGATTTAGAGTACAGATATGCAAGTCTTCAGGATTCAGAGATTAATGATAAATAAAAGGACCAATTAACTTAATACCACCTTTCCCAGTGTTTTATTAATAATAAACCTGCTACAAATGTGCATTAGAACTCATAATGATGCTCACCAGATGTCTTTTTGCTGGTCAGAAAAGAAAATGCTAACTCAAAAACTTTTTTTGCAATAAAAGCAACATGTAAAATAAAACAGACACAAAGAGCATAGAAGAAAAATTGCATAGCAAGGGGGGGAAGCAATTAACTTGAAAAATGTACAACTGAAAATTAAAACATAGTTTGGGTAAGTTTTCTGCTTGGTAACTGTAATTAAAGAGGACTGCTTGTCTTACTAAAGCAATAAAACAAAATGTTGTCGGCTTAGCAAATGACCTCTAACTTGCAAAAATATGCAGCTCTGAATGAAAATGAAATAATAGTTTGGAAGAAATTTATTCTAATTTCTATCTTTTGTATGCATCCTTCTGCATTCTTGAGTTTTTGAATCACTTTGAAGCGCACTGACAGAACATTTGCCCAGAATACTCACTGTACCATCTTGTATGCTGTGTTGTAGCATAAAAGCTACAATTGAAAAGCTGACTTTGCAGGGTGATGTCAGGACAGGCTGCAGGTTTCCCAATTTGTGTGGATCCAGTATTTTCACTTGCTGTTAGATAAGGTATGAAGGAACTGTTAACAAACATTTCTGCTCTGAAGCTGAAGAAGCAGCTGTAGAATCTCAAGCTGCTCTGGCCTTAGTTTATAATAATGCTTTTTTTTAACCCAAATTTGGCAAAAGTAGTGGTCTGACTAGTAATACTTCCATGACATTTCATTTATAAAACGTTGTGAGGAAGGGTATTTTTCTGCACGTTCTGAACAGGCACATCAGGATCTGGCTTTGGAGCTAGAGCTATACCAGGGCCCCAAGAACCTAGTGCAAATCTTTTATGTGGATGTAACTCCAGACTTTCAGCCAAAGAGCTTCATTCTAATGGCAGTGAGGCTTGGCTTCAGACACTGAAGGAGGACATCATGACAATGCTGAAGCATGCATATTTGACTTAGATGAGGTTTTCAGCCCAGAAAGATTGGACAGAGAAGAATAAAACCTTGCTTTTAAGCCATGTTTTGTGCCTTCCCAGGCTGTCACATCCCAGGATTCTTTAATGTTCAGGAGTTTATACAAATCCAACAACATATATTAAGACAGTATGAGGTACATCCTCACTATTGTATAATGTGGCCCCATGTCTGACTTTTCTCATCTGACCTAACTTGTACAGTAGAGTGCGATCCTTAGATATTGCAATCCTTCTGCCACGAGAACCCTTACTCAATGTCTTACTAGATGTTTTAAGTGTGTATACTCAAATTTTGAGTTTATATTGCTTAATATTAAATACTAATTATATTAATGTTATGATAGATACATTTAATATATATTGTTGCATTGTTATTATTTTTGCTCAAACTCTTTGCATATAAAACTCAAATGTGGAATTGAAGATGTGAAGTTCTTGGAAATTCCAAGAGCAATTAAATGTGACTGCTTATTTGGAGTTGAAAGTAATGAAGTAGAAAGTCTTTTGGCTAGGAATACAACAAATTTTGATTACAGATAAATGCATATTATCTTCTCTTCAGCTGTAAGGCTAGCAGTAGGCTAAGGCATCATCAGTAAGTATTGCTGGCAATAAGTTAGAATTTGGAAACTTACACTTCCAAAAATAGTGCATAGAATTTCTCTCAAAGAAATGTTTCAATATAAAAGTTTCATCCTTTCCTCATATGAAGTTTTATTCCATTCTATTATTGATTGTTTTTACATTTTCACATTGTATATATTTTCAGTTCTGAAGTATTGTATAGCTTACATAATGTTGTCTGAGGACATGTTTATCATAAATTAAAAAAATTATTGAATATGCTACATTATTTTGCTTCTGAAGACTTAAACAGTATTTGGGTTTTATGGTTTTGAAATTTATCCAACCACAGAATGAAATTACCATGTGTATGTTGAAAAGACTACTTCTTATGTTATCTTTAATATCTAGCTTGTCAATGGTATCTAAATTGTGTTTTATTTATGCAAAGATTGTTCTTATAATGAACAGTCATAGTGCACGCTATTAGTCTACAGTCTATTAGTCTACAGAGATAATTCCAGGGAACTCCATTCTTAAATGTGACAAATTGCTTGAACACTTAAAGGAGAACAGTTCTGTACTGATAAGAGAGGACGGATGGAGTTGCATCAGAGTACATTCTTTCTTCTGTTCTGTGATTCATTACTGGGTAAAATGAGATGCCCTCGAGTCTTTTTTGGCCTGTGCTACCAGCTGTAATCCAATTCAAACTATTTTTGTGGTCTCAGCTCAATACATTACTCAAAGGAAACTGAATTTTAGCAGAGACTTTGGGAGCTTACTGCTTGTGATTTTGGTAATATATTGGGGGGACAGAAATGGGAATGATTATTTCTTATGGACCAGTAATTATCTAGAGAAATAATTTGAAAATCATATATTGATTTTGAAAATTAGGAGGAGTTGTTTGAAATCATTGTATAAAAGTCAGTCGATCTACTTTTTCTACAAAACTAAAATCTTTATATATATGTACTTGTGTGTGTTCATGTAGCTACAAGTAATTCTTAGCTAAGATTTTCAAAACTTCTTACATATATTTTTTTCATGACCATGTTATGTTCAGTTATGTATTTCTCTGATACTGCTGAAATTCATGTTCTGTCCTACCTTTGTGCGTGCTGGAGGCTTTTATGGTCATTGCTGATGACCAAAGGATACTTCTTCCTCTTCTGACTTCAATAATACTAATTCTTAAGAAGCTTCTTTAAAGTCTGTATGAGGCAAACACTCCTACTTTGCACGCTAGCTATTGTAGGGGAAGGGGGGTGCTTTTTAAGGTGTCTGGTTTGATTGCTGTACTCTGAGCATACCTTGTGTGTTATATTACTCAGACAACTTTTATTCACTAGACAAGATTTAAGAGTGAAAGAATGTTTACTTAAAAACCTGGACTTAAAATGCTGAAGTTGTGCAAAAAAAAAAAAAAACAACCCCACAAACAAAAAAACCCGCACAAAATCTACACCATCAAAATAAAAATAAAATTATTAAAATTATACTTTGCAATAAATATACTATTGCTTCTGCAGCATCTCAGCCAGTTTCTGCCTTTCTTCTGGAAGAAACTGGAATAATTTTAAATTACAGGTTTTCTTTGTGAAGGTAAGATGCCTTTTCCTTTTCACCTGATCAGACGAAAAGGCAGAAGACAAATACTATCCTTTTTTCTGTGGCAACCCAGACTGGAAATCCTTTGCTCTTTGTTTTTACTAATGAAAACTTACATTCCTGCCTTCTGCTATATTGGATGCTTTGATACCAAACATGATGAAGGGGTTTCCTTTCTTCCTTGCCCTCAAAGTTTAATATTTATAGTATATGTGTTAATTAGTATAGCCTCCTCCCCAGCTGATACTGTAATTATGAAGTAGTTTAGTCCTTTTAATGGAACAGTTTCTGATTTAAGGTTTTTTCAGAGGGGAAAACTCAGATTTTTGATGTTTTCTTGTCTCTTTCACATCTCTAGCCAACAAGGACACTAGTTATGACGAGTATGTCTTCTGAGTAAGTATTAAACATTTTGACTGTTTAGTTAGCATACCATTTAAACTTGAATGTTGATAATCTTTTTATGCCTATACAAAATGAAATTTATCTTTGGGCTGTATGTTAAAATACTTTATTTCATTGTGTATTCTAGCTAGAAACATGTGTATATGTAGTTGCTACCTACAGTGTGTGCATATGTTTGTGTTGCTATGGTGCAGACTGAAGTAGTTGTTCCGTAGGTGAGCTCAACAGGGCTTCAGAGCAATGAAACTAAAATCTTAAGCAAGTTTTGAATTTTTCTGAAGGAAGCATAAAAAGGAATTTTATGTACTAAATGGTTCAGACTTTCAGCCTAAGACAGCTTTTTCCCCATACATTTTAATTATTTCTATTTAAAAAGTCATAATCTGAAACATCAGTTCAAAATGTTTTCTTTCACATAAATAGTTGCTGAAGAAATATCAGTTGTATGCTTTTCAGCCACTTAGTTTCAAAACATTAGAAGCAGCTGCCACTGCATATTTTGGGAGAGAGTTGTTAATTTTCTGGCATGCTCTTATCGTTCTCTTAAAAGTCTTACAGCATGAAGAACATCCAACAAAAACACAATTCCATATTTTATACTACACTTGCTTACAGTTTTTTGAGTTCTTCTTCAAAGCTCAAGATATTTCTACTATCCACAAATCTGTTTCAGGTTTGAAGGAATTAAATCTTGACAGTTACATAGATATAAGTACTCAGAAACAGCACTTAGTGGCTATCCTTTTAGAAATTTCTTGTAAATGGTTGTCAATAGCTATTAACAAGTATACTAATATATGTCAGAAATATAAAATGGATTTAATACTTCTCTTGTATTTAATGTGACTGGATGCTAGTAACACCAAGACTGTAAAATGCACTTTGCAAGTCATGCAATACAGGATCGGATCGCTGCGGGGGAGGTAGAGATAATAGCTACAGTGCAGATAGGAGTAGTGGAAAACAGAGACCATGATCTGCCTAAAAGAAAAGAACAAATCTTGGCAGAGCTAGGGAAAAAGTTCTTTTGTTGAAAGAGGTCATTTATATATTACTTACTTCTCTTATGTTGCTTGTATGTTGTTTTTTCCCACTAGGCAATTACTATTTCATTAAATAAAAATAATAACAATATTATGATAACAATTGCTTTTTTTCAGAACTTCTTCATCAAGATTGTGCTTTTGGCTGTCTACAGTTGTAGGCATTCATCAACCTGTAAATAGGTGAAGGGAAAGGGACTGCTTCTGAAAGACCTAAAGAACAGAAAACAGTCCTCCAAAGTGTACAACCCAATGGCCAAAAGCCAATTCTGCTACAGCCTCAAAGGTGGTTCATTAGAATTTAAATCTAAAGGTCATGAGTTCAGTGGTTTTATGGCATTGGGTTTGAGATTATATTAAATGCTGCTCGCTGATTCACTGCCAGCAGCTACCTGTTTTTCTGAATCACAAATTCAGTGAAAATTTGCTGGAAATTTGCATCCAGCAGTTTTTGCAGCTGACCAAAGTATAAACTAGTGACTTTTCACTGTAATTTATAAGATATCTTAGATTCAATTCTTGGACAACAGGACTTTTTCCTCTCATTGTAAGGAATTTTGTGTAGACACAAGAAAGAAGAAAAGCTTCAGGTAGAGCATGGAAATGCACCCCCTGAGCATGCAGTCTAGGCAGGGCCAGCCCCTATGGGTTGCAATGTTGCAAAAACATTCCCTTGTAGGCTATGTTGAGTTAAAATTCATCAAATGAAAAGGGAGTAAATATTCCAGTAACATTTAAGGCAATATAGGCAAGGCCAGAATTCACACTAACCAGTGTCTGGAGTGAGGCAGTTAAGTCAGTGGTTTGGGGCTTTTTAATTTTTTTTTTTTTTAAGTGTCTGCACATACCATCTTTTGACTTAACTGTGAAGTTAATTTGCTACACTGTTTGCTGTTACTATTCATTTATTTGTTTGAAACTTCTTTAAAAAATAGATCGTTGCATTCTCTGTAAAGAATTTTTTGCAGGTTTTGTTAAGAGTTCCTCTAAGTAGTGTCTGCTTTAGCTGGGGTATTTGGGGAGCTTTAACTGAGTTACTTTCTGTGGAGTGAAATGTATTGAGAATGAAAGTAACCCCAGAGGCTTCTGGAGATGTTCTGAGTGTGCTCATATTATGTCAGCGATTAACTTAAATGTTTCACCTGAGAGGATCACCATTGTGATAGATGTGACTGTGTTCAAAGTTGTGCTGAATTGTTTTATCTTGTGTAGCATGCCGTGGACATTTCCAAGTCAGCCAAGGGGAGCAGAGAGGGCACTGGAACTGGGCTTTCATTTACAGATCTTTAATGATCTTTTGTAATAATGATTTATAGTAATAATCATTAATAAGAACAGTAAATTGTTCTCATGCAACAGCTTCTCTCTAGTGATACCAAGATCTCACAGTTTTCACAATTACATATTTGTGTGCTTCAGTGTAGCTAGGAAGACAACTCAAATTAGAATTCCAGTTAGAGGTGGCCATTCTGGATTCTGTATTTAATTACAACTGTATTTAAGGATAAGTAAATGTTTAATTCAAACATTGGCTCAGATATATAGGTAGCAAGCCAGAACTTTAGGACTTCTCTCTAAATTCAGACACAGCATTTTTACTCAGATGCTGAAAATCTGGTGCTTCCTAATGAAAACCTCTTAAGAGTGCTGTGTCTAAATGTTTACATTTCCTGGTAATACTTTTTTGATAGTACTACAAAAGCAGACAAGAATGAGGCTCTGTTGTACTAGGCATTGTACACAAACAATATGGTAGATAATTCCTGACTTAAAAGCTTCTATTTAAACAGACAAGATAGATGTGGGGGGCAAAAGACCTTTGATGTGCAAGTAGATATGATTGTGTGATGACAGAAAAAGGTCTGTTTGGACTCTGTGAGAAGGCTAATGAATTTAGGGCTAGCAAGTGGGTAGAGGCTCAGTGAGAAAAGGATAAGAAATTATTAATGAGGAAAGAAATGAGGTGAGTTTGAGTTAATTTGTATTGTGTGTATATGCTTTTATCATTCTGTATGCCCATTCAACATTGAATTGCTTTTTTCCTCCTTTTTAGGAAACAAAATACAGTAATTCAGGTGGTGAATAAACTTGGAGACTTTTTGTTCTCAAATGATGTATGTGAAACAACAAGTCATGTAGTTACAGGGAGTCCTCGTCGTACCTTGAATGTTATGCTGGGAATTGCTCGAGGTTGTTGGATTGTTTCTTATGAATGGGTAAGAAATATTTTAAAATTTTACTACAGAATAAACTAAACTTATTCTGTAGAGCTGAAATAACAACCAAACTAAACTTACTCTGTATAGTTGAAATATCAACCAAACTAAACTTACTTTATATAGCTGAAATATCAACCGTATAACAATGTTTGTGTCCATGTACAGTGGTGCAATGTTCAGATATTCAGGCTTACCTAGAGTTAGCTCAACTAGAGGAAATTTGCCTGTGTGAAGCTCTGTTACCATGGCTTAGTCCTTCAGTATCTAACCAAAGTATTCCTGTATTGTACCTCAGTATGTATTTTAGTCTTATCTCATGGATGAGAAACTCACGTCACATGCGTTATTTTTGGACAGATTAAAGGCTAAACAAAATAATTTCTGCTCAACATTAGCCAAGTCACATTATTCAGATTTAATTTTTTATATGCTGATTTAATATATTTCTACTGTGTTCCAAAACATGTATTGTGTTCAGCATTGGTAAAAATGAAGGGGAATTATTAGATATTTTGCTGCATAGTGGGGAAAACTGTAAAATACAAAAAAACAATAAGGAAAGCTATTTGTAGATGAGTAGTTCGGAGACTTTGTAATTATACAGAAATGGTTCCCAGACATCCAGATCAAATAATAATATATCCACAAAATTTCTTGTGGACTACCACATAAAGTTACCAGACTGTTACTGTAAAGACAAGATAATAATGAATTGCTGTACTGGGTCTGGCTGGGATGGAGTTAATTTTCTTCATCATAGCCTGTATGGTGCTTTGTTTTAGACTGGTGACCAAAACAAACATCAGTGTTTTAGCTATTGTTCAACAGTGCTTATACAGCACAACCTGTTCTCTGGTTTTCAGTCAGCCCTGGCCCAACAAGGAGGTGTGGGGTGCACAAGAAGTTGGGAGGGGACTTGTCTTGGACAGCTGACCCCAGTTGATCAGAGAGATTCTCCATATCATATGACACCATGCTCAGTTATAAAACAGGGAGGGTTTTTTTCCAAAGCAGCCATTGTTCAGAGACTGGCTGGGCATCGATCTGCTGGTGGAAATGATTAGTTTTACATCATTTGGGTGTGTTTTAACTTTTTTTTTCCCTTCACTTATTAACTGTCTTTATCTTAACCCACAAGGTGAGGTTTTTTTCTTGCTTTCACTCTTCCAGTTCTCTTCCTCTTCCTGCTGGGGCAGGGAGTGAGTAGTGACCGGGTGAGGAGCTTACCTGTCAGCCCAGGGTTAAACCACTACAATTGCTCGCTGTGATAATAGAGATTGACCACTCAATGCGACATTGCAGGTGACAGTTTTTCAGCTTTCCCCATGTTTCCAGAGCTATAAAACACAGCTGTTGGAATTTTTATGGAAATAGCTTTTCATCTTGTTCAGAAAAGGGTTGTAGAATAACTTTAAATGTGTCTGTTTCCTTTTTCTTATAAATTCTTAAAAATTTAGTTGTTGGGCTGAAAATAAAGTAAAGTCCTGTTGCCTTTTTGTTTTCAAGATGTCTGGCACTTACCAGTGTGAAGCTTGTCCTACATGATATACATGTAGTTATCTGAAGAAGCTGTTATGGTATACTTCAGAGTTTTCAGAAGTTCTTAGTGATTAATTTCCCTTGGAATAAAGGTGTTTGCCTCTTTGGTCGTCTGAACAATCCAGTAATGTGTCTTTGTGGCAAAAAGGACCAATAGCATCCTTAGCTGCATTAAGAGGAACATTCTATGATCTGTATTTGAGCAGGGGGTTTGGACAAGACAATCTCCACAGGTCCATTCCAGCCTCAACTATTATATGATTCTATGCGTCTATGAATGAAATACACTAAATATCTGTCCCACACTTAGCTTTGTATTGTTTGTAATTAAGTCATTTATTTCACTGAAAGAAAATATTGCTGTGAACTTTTTAAAAAATTATTTCTTAACCTGGTTAAATCTATGCATCTTATCACATAGGAGCATTACTGTCTGTCTTCTAATTATGTCACTGGCATGATTTTGCCATCTTTTTACCCAAATTCATTAACTGAATACTTTAACTAGAGAAGAGAAAGCTGAAGCCTTACTTAACCACTATGAGGAATACTGTAGAAAATTAGTCAGGAGAATTTTGTTTAAGCTAAATAATCTTTTCCTTTTTTTAATGCTGCAATACTGTATCCTTTAAATGACTTTCTGTACTGTAGTCAGTCGTACCCTAAGTACTTTCATTGGTAATATACTTCAGATTGGATAATTAAAATAATCAATCAGCCTGGAGAAATCAGTAGTACCTTTAAAACAAGGTATTAAGTTTGACCAATGATGATTGTCTTTTGGAAGATGTTTCTCAATGTTTTAAGAAGCTGAAATATTATTTACCTCTGCCTTTTGACTTGTACAATGGAGAGATAATTTAGGCTGCAATATTTATTCTTCTTCTGAGAAAAACTTAAAATGATCTTTTTAAAGATGGATGTTGGAGAAATATCAAATTTACCGTTAGACATTTAATCTTCATAGCACTCCATTTACATGTTTCAAGATGAGTTATTCAAGTACAAATACCATATGATCATTCAGTGTGCTAGCTGGATGGGTAAGAGGCCTTAAATAATGACTAGTCAAACTGTGTGTTTTCAGCCCCGTGAGAACTTGATGATTGACATACATTTTCCTATATAATGTGAGTAAAAGAACATAGCTGATATGGATATGCAAAGGAAAACTTTGCACCATGGCCAACCTTATAGCTGTATAACCTGTGGGACACTTGGAGCTCCATGCCATACAGTTTGCCAGCTACTGAATTAGATAAAATAGTCCATACCAGAGGATGGAGTAACAGAAGATTGATCAACTTGATTCTAGAGCCCAAAGCCAAAGGAAAACACTCTTTAAGGTTGTAAGAAGTCCACAGAAAAACCATGCTTTTCCCACTCTCCTCTTCCCTCCCTGTTTCCTCCTTTTTTGAGTCCTCCATGACCAGCAAGACTGCATTCTACTAGAATCTGATACATTCTTAGTATCTCAATGTTATCAGCTATATTTTCCTAATTTCTGATATTTCTGTATCCAGCATTCATGTGCGATCTGTACTGTACTGCTTTATCATTACATTTTAAGCTAAATCATAGAATCATAGAATGGTTTGGCTTGGAAGAAGATTACCTTGTTCCAACCCCCCTGCCATGGGCAGTGACACCTTCCACTAGACCAGGTTGTTCAAAAGCCCCATCCAACCTGGCCCTCCTCTGGACTCACTCCAACAGGTCCATGTCCTTCTTATGTTGGGGGCCCCAGAGCTGAATGCAGTATTCTAGGTGGGGTCTCACAAGATGGAAGAGAGGGGGAGAATCGCCTCCCTTGACCTGCTGGTCATGCTTGTTTTGATGCAGCCCAGGATATAGTTGGCTTTCTGGGCTGCAAGTGCATGTTGCTGGGTCATATTGAGCTTCTCATCAACCAACACCTCCAAGCCCTTCTCCTCAGGGCTGCTCTCAATCCATTCTCCACCCAGCCTGTATTTGTGCTTGGGATTGCCCCGATCCATGTGCAGGACCTTGCACGTGGCCTTGTTGAACTTCCTGAGGTTCACAAGGGCCCACCTCTCAAGCACTTCAAGCATTTTTTTTTAGTGTTGCTATGAAAATATACTGCTTGAAAATTTGTCTCTGCCAAAGTCACAAGCAAACTTTCAGTGACTTAGAAGGGAGAGTTCTTGCCTTTGTGTTCATCAAATCTGAACATTTTAGTGAGTGGTGACCTAATTATTTACGGCAGGACCTGTTCATGAACTATGCATCTAATTTTCTTTTTATCTAGAAAAGTAGATATGATGCCTTTGTACTCAGTTCCAGAACCATGATAGACAAGCATTAATCCATCTTTTGTTAAGATAAACAAAATTCATTTCTAAACAATATTCTGTAAATACTACAAGGATTGACAGAGGTTGTTACTGTAAAATTGGCCTGGAAAATGAAATGGGATTACTTAATCATAACTAATCTTTTGGGTTTATGCTTTAATCTATTTGAGTAGTTTGTCAGTTACTCTTGGTACAAACATCATTTTGGTACCATAAGGACATGATGTACACATTGTGCAGCATGGTGCATCTGTTCCTGCCCAAGATTATTTACAAAGAAAATATTTTCATGCAGCATGTTTTTAACTGAACCAAGAAAGTTGTAATTTCTTAATACAATTCTTAAAGTTGATTTATACTGCATGTATGAATCGTGCTGTCTCTCACTAGTGGGTAACAATGCTTTTTTGACTTGTATTTAAGGCATGCCAAATGGGAACTGCAGGAAGCATATTGAGAAATTCAAATATCTGTAAAAAGGGAGAGTTGTTGAATTGTGTGACAGTGGACAAACCAGGCAAAGAATTTAACAGTCTTGTACCTATGTGAGAAGCTTTATGGCTCAGCTCACAGCGATGAAGCCAATGAGGAAAATGAACTCTTCCATCAAAGCGTGCTTCAGAATGTAGACTATCTAGAAGTTAGTAGGAAAATGCCCTTATACAACTCAAGGGCAGAGCCATGGTAGGAACTTGAGTCTTTTTCCATTTTCCCGAAAAGATGATGCTTTTACCACTTGAGGGATAGTCTCTGAACACTCTTTGTGAAGCCTTTTAATATTATAGTTTATCAGCTGCAACTTATAATGACAAATTATTTTGAAGAATGGTTTAGAAAATCAACCCAGGAAAAATGCTGAATGGAGTGGTTTTCAGATAGATTCACCAAAAAAAAAATATTTAAAAGAGTGTATTTCAGAAACTGAAAATATAACCATTTCAAGTAGGTGTGGGGTTTTTTTTCTATTAACCACTTTGTGATCACCCTGATGGGAACAGAAGTCTGAAAGTAGTCCAAAGTGTTAGGATTGCTAGCCTCCAAGGATCATATTGATCCAGCATTTCAGAGCTCAGTTGAACACAAATGATTGTGTATTTTCCAGACAGTCAGTACTCTGCACTCTTAGCAACCTTTTTTTATGCTCTAGAATGTGACGTTGACAGAGGAGGATACTGAAGAGAATGAAATTGAGCTTTTCTTCTTTGCAGGCTGATTTATATATGTAATGTGGATTATATACAATAGTTGCATAATCCCAGTCAGTAGTAGGGGTTGATACTGGTCCAACATTGTGTAGCATCTTCATTTATGATCTGGATGATGGGGAAGAGTGCACCCCCAGCAAGTCAGCACATGTTACAAAACTGTGAGGAGTTCTGAAATGGGTGTTCCCATCCAGAGGGAAGAAATGGGCTGGAGAAATGGGCCAACAGGAACCTCATGAAGTTCAATGATTAACTGAACCAAGAGAACAGAACTGATATAGTATTACTTCCCTTTTCAAATCTTTACTCTAATTTTATGTATTGTGATGCAGAGAGTTGACTCTTCTAATATCCTCACAAGGTTTTAAAATTTAATGTAGCTAGGCATAGAAATATGACTTTGGTATTGTAATGGTTTGTTTTAGTTGTAAAATTTGTATCTTTCTGATTGCTTGATTTTTCATCAAATCATTTGGGTAAATGAAATGTCAAATCAACTATTGCAACTGCACTGTTACTTCTAATTACACATTCAAAGAGTTTGCTATTTTAGAAATTATAAGAATTGTACTTACTGCTTAATTTATTTTAGGTTTTGTGGTCCTTGGAATTGGGCCATTGGATTTCAGAGGAACCGTATGAGCTTTCATCCAGCTTCCCTGCAGCTCCTGTAAGTTTAATGGCCCTATAAGCTTGTGAACTTTCTTTTGTTTATCTGGAAAATTATTGGCCCTCTAAATAGGTTTTCTGAACAAGAAGGCCTGCTAGAAAAAATGTTTTTTTAAATCAAATACTGTAAGGAGTTATTTTCTCCTTCATCCACTACTTTTTGAAGTGTGTGCAAAAACTTCAGTTATGCATGCAAAATGCAAAAAATTGATTCACCAATTAACATCTGAATAAACTAGCTTCTTTAAGTATAAATGTCCTTGAATTCATTTGTGGCATATTTCATTTCTATCTGTGCTTGTATATAAACTGGAGAGGCATGCTATTGCCTAACAGAAAGGTTATTCAGGCCATGGACTCAATATTTTCAGTCCAGAAATTACTTTGGCAATGGAAAATTACTGTGGGCTTCTAAAACGAATAAGTAGGTAAAGTCAAGCATTTTTCCTGCCTTTAATGATCATTCTCAAGTACTGAATTGTGAACTAGTGCAAAAGTCTGCATGTGGGGGCATGGTGTATCTGTGCAGGCCCAAGTGTATCAGCACTCCATGTGTTGTAATTGGTTAAACAGTAATTTTATTTTGTTTTTAAAACAAGTAGAATTCTAGCAGGCTATTAGACAATTACTCTAATAGTTTTGCCAAAGAAGGTTTCACAACTTCTCTTATATTGTAGCAGCTAGTTAAATATATTATCATCTGCTACTTGTTTCTCAAAGTTTCATATGGGCTTTGAAGAAAGAACATTTAATGGGGTTTGAATTTTATTTTTACTATAATTTTTATTAACTGTTAAGAACTTATTTTTAACATTATTTCTAAATCTATAATGTATGTGAATTTACATGTTTGAGATGAAGACTTTATTTCATAAGTTGTATGTTCTCAGTTTTTTTTGTAACAGTTCTTCTGAAATAAACCCAAAGAAATTAATCATCCATTATAATGTAGTATTTTTTTCTAAAAGGAGAAAGTAGATCTTTTCATATAGCAAATACATTAAGAATGGTAAAACTTAATGTGATAAATAAATAAGCAGCAAGTTCTTTCTTCCCCCTTTTCTGTATTTGTATGAAAAAAAGAAAACACAGATTAAGCTCTTCTGAGTTTTCTGTTTCTTCTCAGACTACCTTGTTTAATAACCAAGTATGCTATCAGTAACAACTTACATAGCATTCTTAGGAATTGATTCCT